CTATAATCATATTATTTTCGATCAAGTTTATTTTGAAATTTTCTACCCGGTATATAAATACGAGAATTCATTCTTTTCAATTCTTCTTCTTAATTCCATTGCCACTGACATTAAGGCACAAAGAATTATCCAGTAATCGTCGTCTATAACCAATCACCTTCATCGAATTTTATTCTATGTTAATTTCAAATTTTCGTTTCACCCGGTATATAATTACGAAAATTCATCTCGCCTCTAATTCCATTCTCGTTGATATTAAACCGTAAAGGATTATCGTTGTCTAAATTAATTCTCCACTCGCTTTCATTCCCATTTTATCTGACAATTTACTTTCGTTGAATTTACTTTTATCCTACCCGGTATACCATCCTAAATACGAAAGCTCGTGACCCTTTTAATTCCACTGCGCTGTTCGACGACGCGCCACCGGGGATCCCTCGATACATATTTAAACGTCATTCATAAATATGGCAGTGAAAGCTTATTTTCAGGCCAGGTCATTTTCGTCCCACCCGTTGAGTGGCAAAGATGGCTCGGGCCACTGTTAACTGTGCAATTTATAACTGTACAACGGTGCAGTCTATTAAAACAACAATCGCACGAGCGTCCTTCGGCCTGTCAATCAATTAAAATAGTCAGTAGCCTTTGTACGGTACATTTCCACTTTTTATATCCATCTATCGGCGATAAACAAAGGCGAGCCAATAATTCGTGAAAAAAAAAAAAAAAAAAAAAAAGAATCGATGAACATCCTGGTACAACCTTTCGCTCATATCTTGCGAAATTTACTTCGAAAACTCGTTGAATTATTATTATCGATTATCCATCGATGGTACAAAATTAATCTGTAGAAAAATGGAAATTTCTATTTCGTGTACACGATCGAGAGAGAGGATAGAAGAATGAAAGACGAATAATAATGAAATAATGATGAAAACGTGTTGGAATAAATTCTCAGAATTTAAATTCTCATACTTTTCGTATTTATAATTTGGAATATATATATATATATATATATATATATATATATATACGTATAAAGCTGCATAATAGTGTTGATAAAAAAGTTGAAAAAAAAAAATATACAATATTAAAAATATTTAAATCATATTAAAATTAGACTTATTATCTAAGTCTAATTTATTTATATACATTAATCATAAATATTTATAAAGAATTATAATTAAGATATTATATTTAATAAATAAGATATAATTATGAAACAGTTATGAAATAATTGAAACAGCAGAATATTATTATTATTATTCCATATTACTTATTATATCAATTTGTATATATATCGAACAGTGAATTTGTCAAATCTTTCGATATCTTTTCAAAGATATATACATATAATTAAAAAATATAATATTTGCGTTAATTGAATAAAATATATTTTACATAATTATTATTGTATACTTTATTTATTAAAATTTTCTTTGCTTTTTATTTATGTGACCCATTCTTCGAGATCTTTAGATGAATTGTTTATTTAATAAATAATTCAACAAATGCAATATTTCTGATTTTGTTATCGATCATTTTAACCTGATAATTTTCTTGCTCTCTCTCTCTCTCTCTCTCATGCTGGTCTTTACGATAAATTATTTATCTCGTAGCACGTATTCCCTCGTATTGTTCTTTTCATTTGATTTCCAAGTTTTCTTGGTTATTATAATGTTTCTCTTTTTTTCAAACTTAACGATCAATTCAATTTTATATCGATCGAAAAAAAAATCTTTTCACACGTATGTTTTCCTTTGTATATTAAAACTTTATCACTTCTAATTATTCTATTTTTTTTTTTTTATCTTTAAGGAAAACACGTTATTTCAATGTTAATTCCAATTAATAATTTCGACATCAATACAACAAAAATCCACGCTCAGATATAAAATTATTCTTCCAAGAAAAAATAAATAGAATTCCGTTTTCTGGTTGTTTACGAGAAAAATATCAATACAACCAATCGGGAATTTCATGTTTAATTCATCGTTTTGTTAACAGAATTGTAAAAAAGTAAAGTTTTTTGTTGGTATACCTGCTGAAACTCAACAGTTTGCATTCCAAAGAGCAGCACAAATGGCTGGTCGATAATGCAGCGTGAAACGCGAGTCAGGCACAATAATTAACCAGGAATCCCACTGCCATTTGTGACCACGAAAATGGCTGAACTCGACCGCTATGGGGCACTGCGGCTACGTGGACACGGACCTAACCTAAATCCCATTGAATCCCATGGCTGGCTAAACGGTATCGGTACAAATTGCCTGAGCCCTCCTACTATCTGTATACAATCTCTGTATGGAACGTGGAATTTGAACGGGACAATAGATAAATTGAAAATTTAAAATACGATTAAATGATTGAACCGTCGTTAGAAATATTTGAAACGTATAGCACGAGGTATAAATATGAAAATTTAAAATTAAACATTTAAACGAGTTTAAATTATACAGCGAGATTGGTAATGTAAACAATTCTACGAAAATATTAATTCTTGAATTAAATTATTGTAGGAATATCCAATTGAGGAAATAAACTTCGGGAAAATTCTAATTTAGTCTATCGTTGTCACGTCAGTGGAAGCTATAATAGCTTTGGAACACTTACTGCATTATGCTTGAAAAGTGATAGCACCCAGTCTTTAAATATATTTACCTCCTCCCACGTCTTTCGTGTCAAAATCTAGTTTTTTTTTTTTTATCAGTGACTTTTACGTAACTACGTATGAGATAATAAAATAATTTTTTAACAATAAAGAATAACAAATTTCAGAATGAATGACTATTTCATTTAACTTAATTATACTTGAATACTCGATACTTGATTTGTATGCATTGGATATTTTCTCAATCGATAATTCATTTTAACGCTTTATTAAAAAACTTTTAGAAAATGTATTAAACTTTAAACTTCTATTAAAAAACTTCGAGTGCATTATTTTGCTTACATACGATAATCAATGATTTTTAAAACTCCCTATATATATTCAAAAGTAATCAATTTCCGATAACCAATCGCCCTCAAGACACTTCGATGTCACTTCTTTCTCTATCACCAATCTACAACAGTGTTTCTCAATTTTCTTACCGCATGATCAATATGTTAATTCATAATAGCACCACGAATTATCGAATGAATTGAATATTTATAATAGAATTAAAAATTACAAAGGTCTAGTTGATATTTGTGTTATTAAATATAATATAAATAAATAAAATTATACTTAAATGTGTTTCAAAATTTTTACGATTTTGCGATTTACAGAAAATTTAATGCGACTCAATATTCTTGACCCATAAATCGAAAGATGCTGATTTAGAAAATTTGTAATATATATATATATATTATACGTATATTTAAGTGAGCTCATTATATAAACGTATATAAATAAATAAAATTATATTTATATTTGGAATTTTTATGAATAATCAAACAATTTTTACGATGGTAAAAAATTTAACATGGGCCAATATTCAATCTCAACTCATAAATCGAAATGATCTACAAAATTTTTAATCTTTTTATGGGATATTATATCTCATCACTAATCTCCTGATAGATTAAGGTTATTATATATTACATAAATAAATAAAATTATATTTATATTTCAAATAGCTATCTATCATTTTATAACCTATAAAAAATTTATCGTGGCCCAATATTCAGTCTCATAAAATCGAAAGATGGTGATCTATAAAATTTATAATACCCTATGTCAATCTAGTACTTACATTGGAACCATAAAATATCATATAAACAGAAACTTATTTATATGCATTTCGAAGAACTTGAAACAAGGAATCGACAACAACTGTCATTTTGCGATCCAATGAAGTTTTAATCGTGTTCCATAGATAGAAAAATTAATCTACAAAATACTCTATAATCAACTTAGCAAATTGTATATCACATAAATAAATAAAATCACTTGGATATATTTCTCTTTTCCAATATTTAATCGTGTCTCCATAAATCGAAAAAGTGGCAAAAATCTACAAAATTCCTGATAATATCTTTACGAGCGAAACTGTGAGAGATTCAAATATATCTGACGAAAAAGGAGAAGAAAAGAGCACGTTTACGAACGTGACTGCTTAGAAATCGCTTTCAAGGCCCTTGTCAGTGAACACGACAGTTTCACTAGCACGCATAACCTGTCCACAGAGCGATATCGCGCCTTAATATCGGCGTGACGGGTGCACGCATCCGCGCGTGCGCGCACCACCCGAGAGGCGCAACCTGCAACCTGCGCGCTATTACATAACGCATCATTCGGAAATGCGCGGCGTCTATGCGCACGAACAGGGTGTTTCGAAAGTAGTCGCGCCACTCGTCTACCTATCGCATCTACGACCGCAAGCCTCGTGGTTTTGGGTGTTCAACGCGCGGTTAATTATAGACCGAACGCAATACTCGTGTCGTGGGACTCTATATGTAGATGCGAGGCTCGAAGGGTGATTAGAATAAGTTTGAATGGAAATTAGGACGGAGGAACACCGTTTCAATTATGTTTTCATATCTTTGTAGGTTAGATTAGATTTTTTTTTTAACTCTTTGGCACACAAATTTTTTTACGAATTATTTGGCTTAAATTTGTGCTTTTATGATTTATTAATAGTTTAACGTATTGTAATCAATATGTGTTGTAATAAAATATGCTTTTTCAATTAAAAAATTGACATAGTTTTATGTTTTTTTTTCATTACGTTGACTGTAATAAATCAAAATAATCAAGTAATTAGCTTTATCAAATTTAATTAAATATTATTTATAACAGAAAGTAAAATTTATATATTAATATTGAGATGATTTAAAGTAAATAGAAATTGTTAATTTTCACGATTTCCATGATTTCTATTGTTGTATTAATTTCGGAAAATGAGTTAGTAAAATAATTCTTGCGAGAATATAAATTATTTCATTTTCATTCGTTCTTAAAAATGTAAGTATTTGTCAAAGAGTAATTTTAGTGATATTGATGTCTAAATATTAACCTCTGGGTGGAGCTGGTGGAGCCCTCTTCGGGGTATCGTCGGCAGAGGGCGTTCTTTCCCTCATGCTTTCCAATGAGACCCCTTAGAGCCACCATTTAAACGAATTCGTGTGCCACGTCTTCCTGAAACACAACAATGAAAAAAATATTCAGACTTGTTCGTTCAATAATCACTTAATAACAAAATAGAATAATTTTTTTTTTTTTGATTTAATAACGCAACACTACGTATTCTTGACTATAACTTTTTACTGCACAAATCTTTATTTAATTCATCATCTATATTATATATTATATAATTCACGAATTTTTACCAGAGAATATAATGTTTCTAATTTATTTTTCCATTAAAAAAATTCATTCTTATTTCGCGTCAAGTTCTAAAATGGGATACAATGAAAACTTTCAAACATCCAATCTTAAGAAATCAGTCAATGCAGATATTCAATGGAATAATTTATGACCTAACTGTATTACGATGTATATTGTACTTCTACGAACTATGATTCATCGAGGCGTAGAATATGACGAATTAACTACACTCAAAATGTAATTTCCATTCTCAATTTATTTGCACATAGAAAATATTTCTCATATTTTATCGCAGATATATTCGATAAAATCGAATAATCACGATCCACTTGATACAGTTCCAATAAGTACGAAAGGCGGAGGAGGTTAGCGGATTTTGTGCATTGTTCGATGACGTAAAAAAAAAAATGGCGGAGGATCTCGTATAATTGAGTAACAGTATCATGCAGGTGATATGAGGTGAAGAATTGCGATACATATGCAAGACGACTAAGAGAGTTGGCTGGATCTCTTCTCGTATCGTCGAGATCGCATAGGAACAACTTATAGAGGTTCTCAACCTAGATCCCAACTGGAAATTGAATTATTCATAACAGTATAAGATAAGCAATTCTTCTTTAATCATGAAAACTTTATCAGATCTTCAACCTGCGTAAACTTTATACATATTTGTGTACCCTAACAAAACAATATGTAAATTACTTCACTACTATCTTCCCGTTTATATCGTACCTTTGCATTGTAATTTATTATTCTAGATTAATTCTAATTTTATTTTTTAAATTTTTATTTGTTTTATTAATCATATGAAATGATTAATTCAAGAATTCTAAGGAAAAAACAATATTTGTTGCACACAAATTTGAAAACCTAATAACATGATATTTAATAAAATTAGAAAAAAAAAATCTTCGAGATTAAATTAATTTTTCCTCTAACGCATGGAATAACAATTTTGACCGCATATTCATAATAGGAGCAACATAATAAAACAATCGAGATACATATATGTAAATTTTTTTCCCAATAAACTGGTGTAGCAGATCATGTTTTGGAGAGAGATAATGATTAATTATTCGCGAATAACGCAAGTATTTTTTTGAATGTATAGAATTATTATATATATATATATATATATATATACTGGACACACGGAAAGATAAGATATTATTCGAAACCTTCTCTTATCTCGAATAATCTACTTTACAACCGTGTATAACCGTGTAACCTAGAAGTTACACAGTGTATCGTACACCGAATTACTCAATGCTTAGATAATTTCACTTATCACTATGCACGATAAGCGCCATAGTATCTTGCGATACTTATTAATAATAACAAGGTTTATTTTTACAATCGTTATTAATAATTACATTAGCATCAAAAGCGTTGAGAACAAGCTCCCCTCCCCTCCCCCCTCCCCTCCCTCTCCCCTCCACGCTTTTTGCTCACGGACTAAATTCTTCTACTTCAAATTCATTGACCAAGATTTCGTACTGGATCATACCGAGGTCGAGCTATTATTCGAGATCGAGAGACAAACAACGGTAAAACAAAGTGCGCCCGTTCTTATGTCCCACTATATATTCGCTCGTGCAGCCATAACAGCGAGGCCAGTGGTTCTCCGCGTTGCGAATTTTCGCCATTGATCTTCGATAAATAGAGAGAGAGAGAGAGAGAGAGAGAGAGAGAGAGAGAGAGAGAGAGAGAAGAAACGACAGGTATTCCATCCGTATTGGCGGAATGTTGTTACGAGCAAACACACAGTGTGTGGCCCTTTTACGGCTTAACGCCGTTGAGAGAGGGCCAGCGCCAGTGGTTCTCAACCGGCGAGGAGAGGAAAGAACGCGTGGCACGTCGCGTCGTATCAAGGATCATCGTCCATCAACGATACCCCGGTGGCGATTCACCACCGTTACACTTCGTATAATGGGCATAATTGTGACGACTAGCAGCAGCCCGTTATTAGACTTGTGTCGTTCCTTGAGAACCGTGGCAAGACCTCGTATCGCGAGTGGCTCAGTGGTTCTCAAGGAGAGATTTATCTGATCTGATCATAAGCTTCCCCTTATTAAGAGAAAGAGAGTTTCGATAAAATTGTCGAAAGCCAATTGTTTCTCTTCTTTTCTTCTTCGAATAAATGTTCTGTACAACAAATATTCGCGATGCATTTGGGAAATAATATTCAATTGTAAGTGATTCAAATTTAAACAAAAAAAAAAAAAAAAAAATTTAAAAATTTTACTTAAAATTATCTCTGATAAAAACCATGCAAAGATAAAAGAAGATAAATATATTATACATATATATATATATATGTATATTTGTAAATACTTGAGATATATAAGAAGGAACAAGAGTAACTCAAGTGGCGAGCAAAATTTTATAAATTCTCTCTTCTATGTGCATATATAATTGGCATCGATATTTTTCTTTTTTTTAATCCAAATCCCATATCATGAAAGATTCGAAGAACTCTCGATCACGTTCTTTCCTACGATTCCGTCGACAACAACGAAAGAAGATGGCCGACATTCGAAAAACGCCGACGGGGAAACTAATCGTCTCTCTTCCAACGTGCATTCGATTTTGCCTAGCGGCAAACCCGAGGATTCGGATTAGGTGTTGGCATAGGCCATAGGCTACCATACGAAACGACCCTGGGCTCTTCTCGTCCGCTTGGCTCTAAAGCCAAGGCGATGCATAGCGGCCTCTGCCTTTCTTTCCCTTTCTCCCTCCCTCTCCTTCACTCGCTCTCTCTCTCTCTCTCTCTCTCTCCCCCCTCGCCGTTTCCCTTCACTTCCGCCTAGCGTTCTGCTCAATCTCACGGGATTAGAGGGCTATCTGAATTGACGCTAACAGCAATGTGGGGCCTCAACAGGTCGTGGTATCGGTACGTATGCACCGAGAGAGAGAATTGTTGTACAATGCAACAACAATTCGTGGAATTGTTGAAGAGGAAGATAATTTTGAAGATTCGGTTTGAGATTTACTTTAAAAATTCGATCTTCAGAAAATTATGTTCAGGATGTATTAGATATAATGCGTATATTGTATGTATATATGTCAAGTGCAAATGAATGAATCTGATGACTCTGAGGAGGATCGATTGAGAGAGAGTGTCTCAATGAGAACGAAGCTTTATTATAATAGTTGATACGTTGACTGTTACGTGAATTTCGAACGAGTGAAAGCTTTTATTATTCATCACGTGTATGTAATATTTTATAATGTATATATATATATATATTTTATAATGTGTGTATATATATATATATATTTATTTATTTATTTGATGTACAGTTTGTTTGATAATACCTTGTTGGAAAACGAAATTGGTCGGAAGTTTGAATAATTGGTAATTTATCAGGCGCGTCATTGCTTTCAATGACCTTCGTGATATCACTAACAAGTTCAGTGCCAGCCGTTATTAGCGACTACCATGATCAGTATGCCAAGGAAAATGAACTTTTATTTGGGAAAGATGATAAAGAGTAATCAGATTTAAAATAAAAAAAAAAAAAAGAAATTTTAATTTGCAATTATGTAAAAGGGATATCGAGTTGCTCTAAGTGATATAAATATAATGATTCTTAGGAATAATTTCCAATGAAAAAGTGGATATATTCTGCTTAGGTATTTCTAAATATAGAGATACAATCAGGGAATAAAACTTCGTGGGAAGAAAAACAATCATTCAATTATTCCATGAAAAAAAAAAGAAGAATAAAAATGTTGTATCTTTATCTTATTAAAATTCCATTAAAAAAAAAAATCTTTCCACGTATTATCCTTTATATTTTAATAAAAACTTTAAAATTTACTTTCAATGTATAACAATTTTATACATTTTTTTTTTTTTTTTTTTTTACATATTTATCTCAAAAATAATATTAATTTTTTTTCTTCTTTTAATAAATGACTTCAACTGATAATTTCTTTCTCTCCACACAAGTCGATATTGACGAAAGGATTAATGTTATTTCTCTACATCTGTGCATCATGCGAGCGAAGAATTTAATGCAATAAAAGATGTCGTCTATATCCATAAGTGGCAAGTTTAAATACAGAATCGTCATGAAGATCAAAGATTTATCGAGGATTCCATTTATTTGTCTGGAATGCTGAAACGCGACATTCCAGTATGAAAAAGTCTGCACTGCACCACTATAACTTGGAACCATCCCATTTTCCCTTCCCTTTCTCCTCCTTCATACTCTATATTATTCTCACTCCGTTTCTTCTCGTTTTTTCTTTTTTTTTTTTCCCCCCCCTTCTTGCCTTTTTTGTTGCCAAAGACATACTTAAGCGGTCGTGATTATCGATTGAATTCCTCCATTTTGTATTCGCCTGACCAATCATTCGTTCGTATTAATTAAACGTTTCTTCTTTCTCTTTCTCTTTTTTCTTTTTTCTTCTTGTTAAAGAGTAATAAAGAGACGCAAATTTTATTTTTGAAATCACATCTCATATATCAAACGCGATTATACATACGTAAGAAGTGTAATCTTGCATAACGTGATAAGAAAAATAAAATAATTCTTTCTTTTTTTTTTTTTTCCAAACGATTTGATTTCATTTTTATTATTTCATTTTTTCCAAACGAATAATACAATCGTTTCATCGCAATGGCAAAGCTAAAATTCTCTATATTAAGCGAATAAAATAATATCGCTTCCTTTTTTTCACATTTTTTTAAAGGATTTTTTTTATATTTCTTTCACATTTTTTAAAGGATTTTTTTATATATTTCTTTTTTTTTTCTTCTCTAAAAGATATAAATAATAATAAATAAGATTGCAATATTTATC